GGTTTAGGGTTCCGGGCTTAGGGTTCCGGGTTATAGGGTTTAGTGTGTAGGGTTTTCGGTTCACTCTGCTACCACGTAGGTAGTTAGGACCCGTTGGCCTTACTCATCGGCAAGTGGCTACAGCTGCAAACCCACTCCCCCGCTCGGCCCAGAAGCAGTAGACCAAACATCCTCAGTAGCCCCAACATCCCCGACCAACTTAACATCTGAAATCCAGCGTGCAATCCGAAATCCTGAAAACTACACCCTCATTCCTTAAAACCCTCGTGCCTGGAGTTAATAGGGTGTAGACTTAACTAAACCCTAGACCCTGAACCCTACAACCTACAGCCCAGAACCCTAAACCCTGCAGCCCTAAACCCAACAACCCTAATGCCTAACCCCTAAACCGCAAACTACAGCCCTAAACCCAACAACTCTAAAGCGTAAACCCTACACCGCAAACTCCAGCCCTAAACCCAACAACTCTAAACCCTCCATCTACCCTCTATTAGACCCTAAATACCCCTAATTTGGGACCATATACCCCTACTTGAGGGTACAAGGAGGGTCCTGGAGCTCTAAACCCATAAACCCCCGGCGCCAAAGTTCGCCTCAGCCGAGCCGACGACACAGATGCCGCCCTTCTCCTTGGGTAGGGGCTTTGGGTTTATATAGGGATTTATAAGGGCTTATTAGGGTTTAGGGTTTGGGGTTTATATAGGGATTTATGAGGGTTTATAGGGTTTAGGGTTTGGGGTTTATATAGGGATTTCTGAGGGCTTATAGGGTTTAGGGTTTATATTGGGATTTATGAGGGTTTACGGGGCTTCTAGGCTTGAGAAGGGTGTAGGATGTGTTTTTTAGGGTTTCTGCACGCCCGATGCAAGGCTTCTGCAGCTTCAAGTTGTAGGGTGCGCATGGGGAGGGCATGTGAAGTGTCAGGGGCCTTAACCCCAAGGATCCAAAGGACCCAATAATCAGGTACTTATAAGTTTCGGATAGTAGTTATGTAGGTGACTATTTGGGAGAGTATATGATTATTAGGTACTTGGACCCTTCGGGTAATAACTACAATAGGGTTTTGCAGGGTTCCTTATTATAGTAATACCATTATAGTAGACCCCAAAACCCTATTCTAATTATGAAGGCCCCTACATTCGCCTACTCTATAAGGCTCTCTACGATTACCAGAAGGGAAAGAAGAAGGGATACTACAAGGGGTTATGACCACGAGTCTCGAGTTGTCCCCAGGTTTTCTGGTTTGGGTTTCGAGGCCGGGTCAGCTTAAGGCAGTGCTTTCCCCAAGATGTCAGGTAACACTTGTGAGCAAGAGCGCAAGAGGAAGGAGCAGAACCTTGCCTCAGGGGTTTAGGCGGTGTAGGGTCAAGGGTTTAGGGGGTTTAGGGTTTAGGGGGTTTAGGGGTTTAGGGTTTTGGGGTTTGGGGGAACCCTGCCCCATAGAGCCCGGGCCTCGGGATTTGGGTTTAGGGTTTAAGTTGCCGGCTGCTGGGTGTCACTCGGACTCGACATGCCTAACTGCAGCCCCCCTCCCCTAAACCCTGAACCTAAACCCTAAACCCTAAACCCTAAACCCTAAACCTAAACCGAAACCCTAAACCTAAACCGTAAACCCTAAACCTAAACCCTAAACCCTTAGAGATCGTGATGGAGCCCGGTGATCAGAAGCTTCAGGACCACGAGCCGAAACAAAGAAAGGCACAACCTAAACTTAGCCCTAAACCCTAAACCCTAACGGTAAAACCCTCAACCCTAAAAGTAGCCCTTATCGTATCCCTGAAAGGAACCGTTAAAAGGAACCCCCCAAACCCTACTCTAACTGTTAAGGCCCTTATATGGGAGCTCTTCTCTGACTGCTCCATCAAGGCTCGACCACGGGCTCCAGCGATGCGGCAAAGCTGCGGAAGTCCTTCAAGGGCATTGGGGGGGGGGGGGTTAGGGTTGTTTTAGTGTTCAAGGTT